TATTAATGGGTCAATATTAACTATTTTTTAGAATATTAAGTACAAGCCCAGCTGCCCCCATAAAGTCAGCGCCTATAAGCATAAATGTTGCTATTTCATCATGATTTTAAAAATTACAGCCGAATTAAAATTACCATGACCGAAATATAATAAAATCTAATTCGATCCTTAACAAATGGGTCATTACATCAAATCGACCAAATAACGAGATTTTTGGACGACCATCTCTAAAATGAACGTGGCATGATAGTTATTTATGTTGTGATTTAGTAAAATCAAAATTTTATAGCAGCTCAACCAGATCCAAAGATATATACTTTCAAAGTCGAAAATCACACAATGCATGATTTCGTTAAATCTTGTTTTTTTAAAAAAAAAAGCTTAAGATAGAGTTATAATTTATATATCGTTTTCCCTTTTCTAAATTGGAAAATATTTTTTAATTTCAAGTGTTCTTATTTCCGATAAAAATCTAAATATTAAAACGTTGAGAAGGGATATTTTTATGTGTTGATATTAGTTAGTAATGTTTATTACCTTTATATTTACCTGTTTAATAAAAAAATATATAATATAATATTATAAAAATATGTTTTGTATTGGTATTAAAATAAAAAAAATTCAGTAAAACCAATTTGATGTCCTGAGACGATATGTAAGCAGGCAGCCCATACAGATATGATTAGTATTAGGAAACTATATTATAAAATACACATATTCTAAAATTTTATATACAAACTATTATAAAAAAATATTTCTTATCTTTATCGTATTGCATTTTGCGTTATTAATAAAATTTCCTGAATCTATATTTTGTAGTTATATCCTATCATTGTTGTGGATCTACTATCGTTATTATTATATGTAAATTATAAGGTAAAAAATGAGGTGATCGTTTCATGTGGGTGTAAAAAAGAAATATATATCTTCTCAGTAATCATTTTTTTAGTACTGTGGCTAGAAACCGAAAATCGTCATAAACATATGTTTAGAAAAAAGACCGGTCCAGATCATGGTCCTAAATAAAAGACCGATCACATATATTTATGACGATTTTTGGTGGTTAGCCATAGTAATAAAAAAGAATGAAATGACTGATAGATATATATTTCTTATTTACATTCCCATGGACATACCATCCTTCTTTTACCACACAATTAAGGAAGACCATTAATCAAATACAGTGTTGTGCAGATTCAATTGAAAATATTCCCATAATTTTTAATTCGTTTGTATATAAAATTATTTAACTTGTAAAAATTGATAAGAATATATAAATATGTTATTGTAACAATATTTTGCAACTCAAATAATTTAATTTGCAAATAAATTAAAAAATATGGAAATTGTTTACATCAAATCTGCACAACACTATAATAATGATAGTAGATCCCATGACAGTGACAGGGCATATCGCCTCAGGAAATTCTATTAATAAGCACAGGAATACGCTAAAAATATGAGGTATCTTTTTATAATAGTTTGTATATAAAATTTTAAAAAATGTTTATTTTATAATATAGTGTCCTAAATAATCATATCTGTATGGGATGGTTTGCTTACATATTGCACCAGGACATCATACTAGATATACTCAATGAATTGTTTTATCTTAATACCAACACAATACATATTTTTATTATATATTATATTTTTTATTTATAAAAATAATAAAAATTTTAATAAAATTAAAAAAACAAAAATGACTATCAATTTTTTTAAATAGTTAAATATGAAGGTAATAAACATTCCTAGCGAATATCAACACCCATAAAAAATCCCTCAACAATGTTAATATTTTATTTTTACCAGTAAGAAAATATTTGGATATTTTAAATTTTTAAAAAATATTTTCCAATGTAGAATTTTAATGATTATAAAATTATATATAATTTGTAACTCCATCTTAAGTATTATTTTAAAAAACAAGATTTAATGAAATCAGGCATTGCAAAATTCTTGTATTTCCTAATTCAGTCATTTATCACACATTTTACTGCAATACCTTGCATAAATATTACCTAATTCTTATTCTAAACTAGGATGTGCAAAAATATTCTAGCCAAAACTTGCTATGGCAATTTTTTTAGATCTAGGTACAAGAGCTTGTAGGGTCATTTAGACAGCCTGTGAACTGGTGGTAACATCAATAAAATTTATGCCTGGCTAATGGCCCAAAAAATATTTTTTATATTTCCTTCCTATTCTTACTTTTTTGCTAGATTGAATATTACAATTATAAAATTTTTTAAAAAATCAGGTGAAAAATAATTTATTTTTATATCATATTTTATAGCAAATAAAATAAAATTTATAAATTTTATTAAATTATCAAAGTTATTGCTGTATGTTTAAATTAGTGTTTAATATTAAAATAAATATTTTAAGTTTGATATTTGCTCTCTTTAAGCTCTTTTTAAAATATGGACTGTCTTGCAATGGGTGTAGATCTAAAATAAATTTGTGTGTAAAATTTCAAGTTTGCAGGTCTCTACTAGGTCTGGCTTGTTGCCCAAATCTAAAAAAGCCTATAGGGAATAAATCTTAAACTCAAATTATTTATTTTACCTTCTATTTATATGTAATAAATTTAATTCAATAACTAGGATATTTTAATGATGTCCCTACATTTTATTCCATTTATTTCATAATATAATATGAATAGTAAATATTTCTCACTTCCTAATTGTTTTAAAACATTACTTAATTTATTTATAATTGTGATATTCAATTAGGCAAAAAAAGATGAATAGGGAAATCAGAGACTTGCAGAGGTACCATTTGCACGGCCCGGTTTTAAATTTTTTAGGCCCGGCCCGGATATTTTTTAAAAAAAATTTTTATGGCCCGGCCCGGATTTAAAAATTTAAGGCTCGGCCCGGATATTTTTTAAAAAAATTTTTTACGGCCCGGCCCGGATTTAAAAATTTAGGCCCAGCTCGGAATTTTTTAAAATTATATTCGACCAGGTATATAGAAAAATTCACCTATGAGGTATTTTACCATATTTTTCAGCGAGTATTATCGCTTATTATTTAAAAAATACATGTAAAAAGCTAATATTATGAGAATATTATATTGAATTTATAAAAATTATAAAACTGTTATTTATAAAAATGGATATTTTGAGCATATACTATATTTTATATTGCATTTATAAAAATAAAATAATATTCATAAAAATGGTAATAATATTTGTCATATACTATATTTTATATTACATTTAAAAAAAAATAAAACTAATATTTAATTTATAAAAATGGAAAATATTTTGAGAATATAATATATTGTATTTAATTTACTATTTAATTTATAAAATAAAAATAAATCGCTATTTAAAAAAATGCATGTATAATAAATAGTATTTTGAAAATATAATCTAATTGCACAATATTAATATAATTTATTATTAATATAATTTATTTTATAATATAAATTTTTAACAAAAGATAATTGTATTATATATTTCTTCAAGAATTCTCCCAGTAGTGGAAAAATTCCGCTCACAGCTTGCACTTAAAGCAGGAATTGCCAATTTTGCTAAAATTGGAAATTAGCTTTGATGAGCCGCCCACCACTCTAACAAATTATCCACCTTAAATGTTTTATCTATTTTTTATGTAATTATAATATTCATCATCGGGTATTGACATATTACCAGAATTACCATCGCCCCATTGTTCATAAAACGATTCAGTTTGTTTAACAACAGTCGTAATTTGACTGGTCGATGGTATTTCATTTTACTTCCTGAGCCTCTTGTAATTTAATATAATCTTTTATATAGTTTTTCGTCATTTTGCGATCTGTCCCTGACTACATATGTAATTGCTTGAATTTGGGACAGAGAAAAAGAGAAATAAAATGATACTTGTGTAAAACAAATTTTTCAATTAAAAAATGCTTTATATTAAGTAAAATCAATTTTATTTCTCCTTTTCGCTTTGAAAGGTATTACAAACTTTAAGAAGTGATATTCCTTTATTTGATTGTTTTGGTAAAATATATTCTAAATATTTAGATATGAATTATAAAAAAATATATTAATAATACTTGAATATTGGGGCTTATTTAAATTATTCCTTTATTTGATTGTTTTGGTAAAATATGTTGTAAAAATTTAGATATGAATTATAAAAAAATATATTAATACTTAGAATATATTTGCAGGAAATTAATAATTAGATCGATCTGTGGGTTGTTAGGTAGTGTTAACCATCACCCAATATTATATTAATCATAACTATAATATAATATAATCTTATAACTATTAACTCATAATGTAAAAATTTTTATAAAAAATATTAAGGCCCGGCCCGGGTTTAACAATCTTAGGCCCAGCCCGGATATATTTTAAAAAAAATTTTTTAGGCCCGGCCCGGATATGTTTAAAAAAATTTTTTTTAGGCCTGGCCCGGCCCAGGTATATTTAAAAAATTTAAAATACGGCCCGAAAATTTTGAAGCAGGGGTTTATATTTTATTGATGGAATTACCACTAATCCAGCCCATGGATTGGCCTTCAAAGCTTTATTCTGAGCATGACAAACTTAGTATAATTATTATTCCCAAAATTAAAAACTCTTGTTCTTTCTATTGAAGGTTAGATTTTATATGTTTTAAATTTTACTAATTATTATTTTGATAAAAAGATATTTGAAATATTTTTTAATTTAAACTCCACCCCCATGCCAGCTAAACAATCTGCCAATGGGTCTGATTATCTGTCAATTTGATGAGAACATAGTTAACTGCATAATTCTGTATATTATAGCTATCTTTTAATGATGCAGGAAAAAAGAATCCAAGGAAAAAATGTTTTATCAATGAAACTAGAATGGGTTTATTATAAGCTTGCCTGAAATCAATATTTTTTATAAAATATTTTATTAAATTTTTATAATTTAGCCAACAAAAGTAAAATTAAAAAAAAAACTAAGTAAACAATAAATTATGTGCATTTAGTTATTAAATGTATACAAAACACAAAAAAATTCTTACGTGGTTAATTTAATGTGAAAATTTGTTTCCATCTGAATCAAAGTTATTGATACTGCTTCCCACATTGTTCCGCAAAACAACCCAACTCCGATTATGCAGAGTATAAATGCTATAAGTGTAGCATATGGGATCCGCGTCATACATTTCATAAATGCTATATTAAAGATTAATTAAAGGATTCATAATATTTTCAAATTTTACCCATAGAGAATTGCTAGGTGTAAACATGTCAGAATATTATCATTTGACATATCACTGCTGATATGATATATAGGTGACAACTAAAAATTCGGATATATCAATCAGACGTCTTCAAATGGTAAATCTAGCCCAACCAGGTGCGAATATAGGTATGCATAGCCCCCAACTTTAATTTTTTTTAATTTAAACTATAATATTTCTGAAAATTTATAATCTTGGGGAGAGAATGGGGGAGGGGGGGGGGGGGTTAAATTTAACATAACACTTTGGATTTTCACTTCTATGAAATATCCAAATTTATCAAATATGTATACAAAAAATCAGACGCCACCCAGCCAACCCTAGTGATCTCTGATGGCTATTACCAAAAGTACTGAATAATTTTTTGGAAATTTTGAATAGATTATATTTTCTTAAACTATTTTAATATTTTTTAATTCTAGTTATTTTTTTAAATTTTCATTTTTTTTTGCTTACCAATTCATCTTAATTAAATATTAATGTCATACTCCTGAAAAGAATGCTAACTTTATTTTGGATAAATAATTTGAAGTTAAAGTTTTTTTTCTCGTGCTTCCTTTTTTTTCTAACGGATATAAATATTATATATTTAAAAGAGTTAAAATAGAAGAATTAAATAAAATATGGCTATGATTTTTTTAAATATAAGTATCTGTTCCAAGTTGTATTGTTAAAGGGATCGATTTGAGTCGTTTTTTAAAAACGGCTAACTCAATATTTTAGCCAGAAAAATATTGTCTAAACCTCGAGATTTTGTTAATAGATGTTCAAATCTTTGTGCCACCTATGAGGAAAATATTAAGGCTTGCATAATATCCTAATAGAATAATGAGTTAGCCGTTTTTAAAAATCGGTTCAAAATGAGCCATTTAACAACACTATTTCCAAGTAACGTTGTTAAAAAACTACGAGTCGAAGTCACGATAACTCGACTCAAAACTAGAGTCTAGTTTTGTATCAATTATACAACTCGACTCATAAACTTGAGTCGTGAACTCACGTAGTGACTCGATTATTGAACTTGAGTCGTGAACTCAAAAAATCGACTAAACCAGCTACGTGCACAAACCCCAATCCAAACCCGGGGTTCAAACCTAATTTTGTTCTTGACCTTATTAAAGTATATAAATATATGGTTATTAGAAGTATCATTTACAAGCTAATTAGATCTATTGAAGAGGTATCGAGACAAGCGCCACTCAATAGGCCATCGGCGTAGCTAAGAAAGGGGGGCAAGGGGAAATCCCCCCTTTAGAAATTTATCACTTTTTATGAATATCAATTTAAGCAAATAAAAAATATCCCCCTTAGTCCTTCCCACCCTCTCTGACCCCCTAAAATGTATGCATATATCTTAGACAATAATTTGAAAGAAAGAATGTAGTTGATATATTTTTATAAAACTATTCATCATAATTTATACATATTTGGAAAAAAGCATTTATATATAAAAATAGTGAATCAAAAATGTTTTTTAAGAAATGGAATATAAGCCAAAGATAAGTCTTAAGGCAAAAGTGTAATGTATAATAACTATTATTAATAGATCCATAAAATTACAAATAATATAATATATCAAATATAATATATCAAATATTATATATCAAATATTATATATCAAATATTATATATCAAATATTATATATCAAATATTATATATCAAATATTATATATCAAATATTATATATCAAATATTATATATCAAATATTATATATCAAATATTATATATCAAATATTATATATCAAATATTATATATCAAATATTATATATCAAATATTATATATCAAATATTATATATCAAATATTATATATCAAATATTATATATCAAATATTATATATCAAATATTATATATCAAATATTATATATCAAATATTATATATCAAATATTATATATCAAATATTATATATCAAATATTATATATCAAATATTATATATCAAATATTATATATCAAATATTATATATCAAATATTATATATCAAATATTATATATCAAATATTATATATCAAATATTATATATCAAATATTATATATCAAATATTATATATCAAATATTATATATCAAATATTATATATCAAATATTATATATCAAATATTATATATCAAATATTATATATCAAATATTATATATCAAATATTATATATCAAATATTATATATCAAATATTATATATCAAATATTATATATCAAATATTATATATCAAATATTATATATCAAATATTATATATCAAATATTATATATCAAATATTATATATCAAATATTATATATCAAATATTATATATCAAATATTATATATCAAATATTATATATCAAATATTATATATCAAATATTATATATCAAATATTATATATCAAATATTATATATCAAATATTATATATCAAATATTATATATCAAATATTATATATCAAATATTATATATCAAATATTATATATCAAATATTATATATCAAATATTATATATCAAATTTTTATAAAGTGAGTGATTTTAATTTATTTATTTTAATAAAAGTAAAATATAATTATAAAACTTTTGATAAAATTAATTCATAAATTAAATAAAAAATTAAAGCACAATACAAACAGTGAAATACATAGGCGTAGCCAGGGGGGGCAAGGGAAATCCCCCCCCCCCCATTTCAGAAATATATCACTTTTCGTAAATATCATTTTTAACTAATAAAAAACACGTTCCTTAGTCCCCTCCCCGCTCCCTGTCTCTCAAAAATGTACGCATATATCTTCTTAAACAATAATGAAAGAAATAATGAGAGTTAATAATTTTTTAAACTTAAACTATTGACTATAATTTATATTTTTTAAAAAGATTTATATATAAATATATATAAAAAAAGTGATACCAAGAATGTATTTTAAAAAATGAAATATAAGCCATATATAAGTCATAAGACAAAAGTCAATTTTATATAATTACTATTAATAGATCTATAAAAATACTAAGTAAAATAATATATAATTACTATTAATAGATCTATAAAAATACTAAGTAAAATAATATATAAATATGATTTTTTATAATTTTATATAGTGAATTATTTTAATTTATTTTTCTTAATAAAAGTAAAATTTAATTACAAAATTATTAATAAAATTAATTTATAAATTTAATAAAAAATTAACATAACCATATTCCCATTTTTTTTAAATTTCCTTCCAATTTATTTTTAAAATATATTTTGCAATTTTTTGACCGAGCAACAAGCATTATATTTGTTTTAAGATTGATATGAACATCAGAAAATATCTTTTAAAGAATGTAAATGAAAAAGGTAATTCTATATTTATTATAATAAACATTAATTTTCTACCAAGATCATCATCGCAAGAAAATTGATTCAATTTGAAGTGAAAATAGGGTATCAGAAATATTATGTAACAATCATGAAAATATATCAAAAAAGAAGGAAATTATAATAAATTTAACAAGGATTGATGAACGTATATTTTATATTTATAATGAATTTATATATCTTTTTTTAGTGATGTTGCTGGGAGATAATAATTCTCTAAATATAAGAGACCTTCATTCAAGTAAGAACTATTTGAATATTAACATAAATATTATTATTAGTTGTTATTGATTCTCAAAAAGATGATCAAATATTAGAGATTGTGCTAGAGAATGAGAAAAGTAATCCTATCATCCAGGTAGTCCCAATAGGTATTTTATTTTAATATCATTATGTAATTTGCATTTTTTTAAGTTAATGTTGTTGGTGAAAGATCTGCAGTAAATCTTATACAGGCAAGAGTTCAAAATATGGATAGTAAAATGTCTATTTTAAAAATATGTAAATAGTTTATTTAGGTACTTTACCATTTGACATAAGCAATTATGTTCAATTGGATGTAGCCCCCAAAGACTTTAATATACTAGAAAGTATGTATAGGCCACCCAATAATTATAAATTTCCAAGAGATCTTTCTAGAAGGAAATTAAAATTTCAATTTAATTGGTTTACCACTTGGCCTTGGTTGGCTTACTCACCTTCACAAAATGGGGCTTATTGTAAATATTGTGTTCTATTTTGACCAAAATATGCTGTTAAAGGTGAACAAAAATTAAAGCGACTTGTGAATTGCCCATATAGACGTTGGAAAGATGCAGGAGAGAATTTTGAAAATCATAAAAACAATTTATACCATAAAAATACACAAAATATTATATCATCTCTTAGAGCAATTAATGCTAATGATAGAGATTCTATCATTCATATAATGGGTAAACCATTAAAAATTATTATAAAAGACCCACAAAGGTACCAGTTTAATTGGCCAACCTTTTGGGTTTCATATTTTATGGCCTTATAATTATTTATTTTTTATAAAGATCAAGGTAAAAAGAAAATAGCAAATGAAAATAGACGAAAATATAATTACATGTGGAAATCAATGTATGGCATTAAGAGGTCATCGAGATTCAGGTTGTATATTTAAGGATGATACAAATGAAAATGACGGGAACTTTAGAGCTATTCTCAGAAACCGAGCAATTGGAGATGATGAGCTCAGGTGTAACTTGTTAAATGCACCGAAAAATGCTACTTATTTAAGCCCCACCATTTAAATCGAAATTATTGATGTGTGTAATGATTTAATATTAAGAAAGGTAGTTGCCAACATTAACAAGTCTCCATTCTTTTCAGTCTTGGCAGATAAATCAACTGATATATCTGGCATAGAGCAAATGTCATTGTGTGCTCGATATTTATATTCTGAAAATGCTAAAATTTATATTTATTTTATATAAATTATTATCATTTATATAGATGAAGTTCAGATAAAAGAAGACTTTTTGCAATTTATTCCGATTCAAGATATGAGAGGTGAATGTCTTGCTAACACAATTGATGTTCATCTTAAAAAATTTAAAATTAATGTTAATTTTATGCGGGGACAAGGATATGATGGTGCCCCTGCTATGAGTGGACATTTAAATGGTGTTCAATCACATTTAATAAAAAAAATATCCTACTGCAATTTATGTACATTGTGCATCGCATTCCCTAAATCTAGCCATTTCTGATTGTTGCTCAATTCCCGTTATTCGTA